AGGTTTGTAGAGCATGGAACTCTCTCAGGGCCTGCTCTACATGGTGCTGGAAATCCGCATTCCCTGCACATTTCCCATGCTACATCGCAAATGCATTGCCCTTGCGATCTGCAGTGGGTGTCAATGCAAAGTTCAGGACACCCCAAATGCAGGTTGCAATTGCAGTGCATTTTCCCGAACCAAGCTCATTTCCAAAAGTAGTTCATGCACCCCTTTTGGTGTGATGCGGTGTGATTTCAGCCCTCTTGAAATGGGCTGAAATCAAACTGCACCACACTCAGATCACATATGAATTGCACAGCGCATTCCTGTGTGATTCATAGTGTGAATGGGTACTTAGGCTGTGACAAATAAACAAAGAACTCAGTGCAAAAAAAGAGCTTAAAACAAAGCATTTAAATTAAAAACAAAAACTATAAGGCACTCACAAAAGAAGAAGGGATCATTCAGTAATCAAAACTGTGACAAAGTGCATCTGATCACAGTTTGAATGGGGAGGAGAGCAGACAGAGCTGAATCTCAGTAGTCTTCATGCTACACTGTCCGCTGTCAAATAAAGTCCCACCTCCTGGATCAGCTTCTATGATAGACGTCACACTGGTCCAATTTCCCGGCATTGGATCAGTGTGCTGTTCATCTCTGACAGCGGCTGGTGTAGCATGAAGACTGGCATCTCAGCTCCAAGCAGTGACAGATATCCTCTTTGTCTGCTCCAGCCTGCTCTCCTCCCTGTTCAAACTGTGACCGGATGCACTGTCACAGTTTTGATTAATGAATTATCTGTTCATCACTTATACCACCCTTTCAGGGGGCATCAGAGTGGCCCAGGGGGGCAATTGTCCCAGTCCGCCTCTGGTGTCACCCTTCTGGCAGGTGTCACTCGGGTGTGGTCCGCACCCCCATAGAGATGCCACTGTTTAGGAGCATTTGGCATTTTCAAGTATTTTCAAATGTTTTGGAACAAATGCTTATAAAAGAAAATGCCCCTAAACACTTTTAAACTCTTGTGCAATGCAAGCCACTGTGAACAATTTTTATGCTACTTTTTTCTGCCAGAGGTTCTGGCATTTTTTTCTGCCTCTAGTGTGCATAGACCCTTAAAGCACTTCTGTATTTATTAAAGAATATGTAAACCCAGCATTTCATATTCCTGCTGTACCACGTACCTACTGTATATGAAAAAAGTATCCTGTTCTCCTTGTACTGCTTCCTCTGTGTGTGAAATCCCTGGTGTTCCTGCCAGTTCCTAAGCTTTCCTAATAAGAACTGACTACACAAGGTGCGAGAACACACAGTGGTCAGTTCTCTAGCTGTGCTGGGAACTCAGTGTGCTCTCCTCCAATGATCAGTCTTGTGGTAACAGCCTCCCCCCCCAGTCTTTCACTTGGAAGATCAGTGTGGTGCTGTTTCTCCTCCCCCAGGTCTTATCCAGCTGAGAATAGAAGGAATGTGATCACTTATGAAAAAGGAATAAAAAAGTTAATAATGTATTTTATAGCTACAGTGTACACAAATGTTTACCTTTCAATTATGTTTTAGACTGAATGGGTTGTTTTACAAGGTGAGGGTTTACAATCACTTTAATATGACATTAAAGTGCAAAAATGTTAGAATGAATGTTTGGGCCTATTTTGCGACCAAAGTGTCAGATATAGTGGAACAGTTAGTTAATATTGTTTTTATGTTTGCAGTTGTTATTCTGTTGCATCTTATATATTGTAAAGCAAGTTAGGAACAAATGTATAAATCTACCACTACATGTGAACTGCATAATTATTTACACACAATGAGGGACATTAATCAGTACAGTTTTAATGATTGTGCTTGCCAAGCTGTCACATCTTATAATTTCACCCAGGAGCAGATTAAGTTAGTGATCAATTTATTATATGTACGTACAGTTGGCTGCATAATGATTTACGTTGTAGAATAATTAAAAAGATGTTATTTCTGCGAAAGATGTGGCAGAACAAACTATTCTGTGACAGATGTAAGGTTAAACTAACTTGCAAAATAACTGTTTGGAGATGTGGCACAACTGATAGGAAAGGCAGGCATTCGCTAATTGGTCTCATATACACAGTACAAGAAGTTGTCAGTTTAGACACAAATCAGACAGTAAGTTTATTGCAAACATTTTTGCATGCAATATGCACAAAAATTCATTTGATTCATTCATTCGCGTTTCGGCATAAAAAAAAGTGCATGCACCCTTTTGAAAATATGGCTGTAGGGAAACTGCATGGTCTTTTTGACATGTGGTTCCTCTTTGATTCCAGCACCTGCAATCGCACTGCAGGCTGAGATGTGTATGGGCGCCATTCAGCATGAATGACAGCCCCACGCATCTCCTAAGAGCAACGCGATTTGACTGCAGGTGGTTGCAGGTGCGGGAACAGGTACAATTCCTGCATCTGCAACCAGAACGTGCTGTGTGAACCGAGCCTTATCCTAGGTTCACACCTAAGCGTTTTCCACAGCGTTTTGCAGAAATGCACTGCAATCAATTTAACATGATTTCCTATGGCAGGGCTTAAAATTTTGAGTCTAGACCTACTAGCCAGGCACAAACCTTACTCTCAACCAGTTGCCCTACCCAACCTTGCCCAGGTCCACCTCCACCGCCACCCCCGCCCCGTCCGCCAACCCTGCCCCCAACGACCCCCCCCCCTTAAAGCTTATGAAATTACAGTCCAAAATATAAAAAACTGCAATTATAACATAGCTTTATTATGTCAATTTAAACATAATAATCAATAGTCAATCAATCAATAGTCTCAAATTAAATATATTATTGAAAGCATTCTGTTATATATTTTTGTGTGCACTGCAGTGTTATCAGCCTTTCCCAGTTCTTCTCTGTGAACCACAGACCACTTCCCTCTACGTTATGGAGATTGGGGGGGGAGTTATATTCCTAAACATCAAAGTCCATCCCACACACTATGTTCCATAGGCTTAGTATTAATAAAAGTGTGTAAGGCACTGAGGCATCATGGGTCCAAGCGTGGAAAACAGCTAGCACACCAATGGGTGAAAACTGGATTTACTGAAAGTGGTTGTAAACCCTTACATATACCCAGTGAAGGGACTGTCCTCAGGTGATACACAGAGATTAACCGTTTCCCAACCACCCTATAGCAGAAATACTGCTACAGGGCGGCATATATACTTGATTCTGCATTTCTGGGTAGGGGGCGCACGCCATTCGTGGCCGTGGCTGTCAATTACCAGGTCCCGGCTGGTAATTACTCGCCAGCGCCCTGTGATTTCTGAAGATCTCCAATGGGGAGGAGAACTGTTTTTTGTTTACTAACAGTTCTCCTCCCTGTCAGCTCGGGCACACTGCTCAGGGCAGTGTGATTACAGTGAAGCACACTGACTCCACCCCCTAGTAAACACTCCCTGCACACAGTTAACCCTTTGATCGCCCCTCATGTTAACCCTGCCTGACCACTGCCATTAGTACAGTGTCAGTGCTTTTTTTTTTTAGCACTGATCACTGTATTGGTGTCACTGGGGATGTCAGTGACACCATGGCAGTTCCCCCCTGTGTCAGAATGTCTGCTACAGTTCCGCTATAAGTCTCTGATCACCGCCATTACTAGTAAAAATAAAATTTAAAAAATCTAAGTATATACTGTATACCGCCATTTGTAAACGCTATAGTTTTCATGTAAACCAATTAATTTATGTAAATTGGCGTAAATTTATAATGAAATCAGATTTTTAAAATATTTTTTACTGTACTTGTTTAATAGCAAAATGTCAAAAATAGTTTTTTTTTCTCAAAATTGTCAGTCTTGTCAGCGCAAAAAATAAAAACCACATAGGCAATCAAATAACACCAACAGAAAGTTAAATTTATGTGAAAAAAAGGACACAAATTTAATTTGGGTGCAGCATCGCATGACCGTCAGTTAAAGTAACGCAGCACCATAATGCAAAAAATGGCCTTATCAGGAAGGGGGGTAAATCCTCAGGAGGGCAAGTGGTTAAACAAATCCTCCTACATAAGTTATATCTATCTATTTGCAGTCTTCTCTACATCAGTTTTAATTCCAGAATTCACAAGTTTGTCTGAGAGTTCAGAAAAAAGGGCGTGGAGAGCTCAAGTTACACTCTGCAATCAGTGAGGGAAGCTGATTGGAGGGAAGAGACACCCCCCTTTTCACACAGGAACAGAGCTGAAGCTGTCACTCTGCTGGAGGTCCCTCCCCTGCCACCATTTTTCTCTTAGTGTCAGGAACTAAGTGATTCATGCTGATAGCAGAGGAACAAAGCAGCAGACTGAAATGGCACTTGATGCTTTTAATTGAGATATGTACACAGTATAGAGGGATATGCTTTGCTCATATTTCATATCTGTGGTTTTCAACCACTTTAAATTACATAATACTAGTGTGACTGCACAGGACCACTTTATGAAGGTCACTCTAATAAAGGGAGCCTGTGTGGCCACAAAATGTTGCTGTTATGCTATTCAAGTCTATCCAGTTTCTACTTGCAATTTACCCATTACTGTGCTAGCTTTTTTTCTACATTTGTGTTCTGTAGTTTTAATATTTTAATCATTTGAGGTAGCAAATGATTTACTGAACTATTTTATAGTTGAATGGACCTCCAAACAAAACATGCTGATATGGTTTCATGTTTCCTTTCATCGTCCCCTGTTTTCCTTTTTTCCCACAGTTGTCTTGCTGAATTTGGCCACAAATGACAAGAGGTGAACAGGAAGGACACACATTAAAATAAATTATAACAGCTTTATTTTTGGAAGCTGGATAATGTTGCCCCTCCAGGATTTAAAAAAATACTGTATGTGTATCTGTAAGACTAAACTTCATAGCTGTCTTGCTGTCCTAGGTACTGGTCCAGGAGACCTTTATGGAAGATACAGGTCTTGGCTGTGATGTAAAACAATTGTACACCGTAACAACTACATAATTGATGTACACAATTCTCATGATGTAATTATGTGTTATCATTATGTCTTGCAGATTTATCAGCTGATCCAGATGAGCTTAGAAATGTGGTCCTGTTGTATCCTGAGATTGTCCTCTCCATGGAGAAGAAACTTCAGTCCATTATAGACTATAAGAAAATATCTTACAATGTTCATCAGTATAATAAGGAAGAGTTTATCAAATGGAGAGCAAGCCTTGGACAGAATTATACAAATGTGATCTCCAACCTGAGGTGGCATATTGATTGGAACAAGAGACCAAAATCTTGTGAACTGGCCATTAATAAGTGGCTAGAAAGTGGGAATAACAAGATGTCTATGACTAGATCCAATCATGTAGAATCTTCCATTGTTCAAGGAAAATATTCCTAAATTGAATTATACTAAAGTGTTAATTGTATAAATTGCAGCAAAGACCACATATTGCTTCATCAGTAATGATGTAGTTGGCTAGCATGTACCTACCTTTTCTTTAGGTATAAAGCTCACAAAATCACTGGACAGAAAAGTGATGAGAAGTGGCCTGTTCTCGAGGGTACATGAATATATGCCTCACCAAAGTGGTAAAGCCGTCAGATAATTGCATCACCTTACTTTATTTTTTTTTCATCCCTGATTTTCACAACAGCAGATCGATATATTTCTTTCTCATGGAGCTTGGTGTTCTTTTCAGAGAGGAAAGCACTTAAAGTGTACATCTATATGTTAACCATGTTTACCCCTAAACCCCCCTCTTACTCTCTAGAGCATTTTTCTTGTTCCTGTAGCAAGAAGCAGATTTTATTATCCCTGTGACATCATCACCAGTCTTGTACAGTTTTTTACAGGAGCAGCTGCCAGGAGCTCATTTCCAAGTGATGTAGACATGCCCCCAGAACTACATCACTCAAAAGTACACAGTGAATGGGCATCCTCTTGGGAGGCAGGACAGCAGAAATTAATTTATGCATATGGAAAGGGACAGCAAGAGGTGGGGTACATATGGAGTTCTGTAGTTCAGGAGGCAAGGCTAGTTAAGATTTCAGTGTAGAAAAAGCACTGTGCTTTGAGCTCACAAAGGATGTTAGGAGCACACTTAATTTTTGACAGAATCAACATTTATTTTGACGGTTTATGATCAGCATTTTAATTTAAACAGATAGGTAAAGTCCAGTGTAATTAGCAGGTCATAGCATTTTCAATGAGGATTTACTGTCTTACCAATCATTATAATTCATGTGTCTGCTGCATTTGGCTCTACAAATATTAACTGGTTTTGGAAAGAGTGGACTATCCATTATGAGTGGCAGCAGGTTGCCATGCTGCAAAGGGGAAAGTGATAAGATGCATATCTCCCAAATGTTCATCAGTGGAAACCAAAGCTCTCTATCCATTCTTCCTCAAGTGTCTACTGTATATTGTAACATAACAGTGGTGTAGAGGTATGTATAAATAAATATACTATTTAAAGTTGTATATATTGCACTAAACATATAATTCTTTATTCAGATAATCGCATTGGTTAAGTCAGAGCTCTGACTTTGATGCAGAAACCACTTTTTCCATAATGGAGCACCCTTTGGGTTTTCTCTGGCTTGCTACAGGTTTAACACTGGAACATGAAGGAACCTCTAGATGTCTTCTGAAGTCTATGAACAGTGTAAAGCTGGGGTAGGCAAACTTCAGCCTTCCAACTGTTGGTGAACTACAACTTCTATCATTCTGCCTCTGGGAGTCATGCGTGTGGCTGTCAGTCTTGCAATGACTCATGGAGAAGAAATGTGAATATCTGCACCTATTCTCTGAAAAAAAACCCAAAGCACTGAGTATGAGAATATACTAAAGTTTATAGTGCTAATTATGCCAGTTTAACAATGCAGTGTTCTAAGAATTTATTTTATAATGCTGATAATCAATCATACTACAGCAAGGTCTTTTATGGTTAAATTTGGCCTCCTAAAAATGGTCCTCCATCAGATATTCACACCTGTTATATACCTACACCTGTGAAGTCAACGGTTGCTCAGGAGGCGGCAGGTTCTAGCACTTGGGAGTACTCTTATGTTAGAGTTTAACAACTACAGTTCATGGAGGGCTTAAGTGAAGCAGAGTCGCTTCCACATACATATTTGCCCATTTCAACAGTGTGTATGCACCTAAAACCTCTATTTTTAATGCAAATTGTTGCAACTGTGTAATTTTTTTTTTAGAAGGCTAACTGACTATGTGTTCTGGAAAATTTCTGTATTGTGTTTGTTCTGTGATGAATCCTTTCTATATGCACCTTGCAAACAAAATGTCTGAAGTTGCATTTATTGAAAATATTAGGACTTCCAGGTGCTTGTATGTTTTACCAGCTTCCTTGTGCTGAATCCTATGATACCCAGAGCACTGGATGCTCAGGAATGCATTTATCTAGCATGCTTTCTGACAACCGGGGCAACACCTCCCCCCCACCTTATGTACCTTACTAGTGGCTCATCATTATATTACATAAGTTGTCCTACTAACCAATAGTAAGACAAAATTGCTCACTTCACATTACATATTATTTCTTAAAAGTTAAAACTGGCTAAAGAAATACAGATGTGCTCACCATTTCTTCTTTCTTGAGGAACCTCTCAAGAGCCTTAGATTGCTGTCCAGTGAGCTAATAAAAACTGAAGGGTGAGGGTGAGCCATTGTCACAATATGTATTTTATATGTATTTAAAGGTAGGCAGTTGTCAGTAAAGTTGACCCTTCATTTTTATTAAAGGCCAGATTTATTGTGCTTGTAAACCCTTACATACACCCAGTGAGGTGACTGGCCTCAGAGATCAAACAAATCCTCCTACATAAGTTGTACCTGTTTATCTGCAGTATTCTCTTCACTCCATCCGTCCAAAGTCCAGAATTTATAAAGCTTGTCTGAGAGTTCAGAAAAAGGGGACGGAGAGCTAAAGTTACACTCAGCAGAACTCAGTGAGGGGAACTCTGCGAGCTGATTGGAGGGAAGAGACACACCCCCTCTATACAACTCACAGGAACAGAGCTGAGGCTGTCAATCTGCTGGAGGTCCCTCACCGTCACTATTTTTCTTGGTGTCAGGAAAACTTGTCAGAAGTGACTCATGCTGATAGCAGAGGAATAAAGTAGCATATAAAAATGACACACTGAGTGCTCTGAATTGAGACAAGCACACACTATGGTAGGATATGCTTTGTTCATATTTCACATCTGAGGTTTACAACTACTTTAATCACCTAAGCAAGTTTAAATGGTGCAATATATAACTGTATGGATGCCCTTGTTTGAAAAATATGCTAGCGAGAAAATTATTGGTGCCCATAGCCAACCGGCTTCCAAGCATCAATTACGCAGAGCAAAGTTGAAATTCAAACATTGATTTTTATTGGTTCATAAATTCATTTATTCCCAATATTATATGTTTATTCTGAAAGTATCTTCATACTATCACATGGGCCTGTACAGCTGCACATCTTATTTAGTTCCCCGGTATCATAAATGTAGGTAGAAACAAGCGTATTGCAGTTATTTACAATATGAACATTTTTTTAAACTTTACTAAATTAGGATCTGAATATAAACATTTTACAGTTGCACATTGAATGCTACAAAGCAGATTTCCATGACAACACAAACAAAACTGAATTGCACAGATCACAGTTTGCTTTTAATCTAATACAAGAATGTGTTACACCCATATTTTAACAGTCACATTCATGTACAATGTCTGCACATCAGCTTTTTTTTATATTTACAAAGATTTGTTATTCATACATAGGAAAAGCAATTTATATATTGTCACACTGAAAATACTTAACAAAGTATGGAGGGGGGGGGGGGATGATCCTCAAAGGGCTACTCCATCGAAAGTGATTTCTCTAGTTTGGGTGTAGCAGGCTGGGGTTATTCTCTTCTACTGGATCTTCACTTGGCATTTCAGTGAGCTAAGTGTGTCACTGACCTTCATATGTTCCTTTGAAGAACTCAACAGAGGATACATGATACAGTATCTTTGTATTTTTTTTTCTTTTTGCAAAGCCCTATCACAACCTTTGGAGAGTGCTACTCATTAGGCAACAGAGACTGAAACCTGCACCTTTCCACCACATCTCACCGAAAGGTCTGTCAATATAGGGGTCACATACAAACCGAAGAACTAAGAAACTACAAATATACAAAGGATGTTTACAAGCTTCACGTATTTCTTTGTGTGAGCACTTTGTGAGATACAAGCTATATAAGCTATTCCACCTGTGGCAATACAATGCCAGGAGCAGAATAAACCAGGTGAGGGAATCACTTACCCTATTGAAATTGCTCCCTTACAGCCCTGGAATGCTGCAGAACCTTGCTTGCTTTTGTAATATCTACCTGGTCCAACCATTAAGGGAGTATAGGAAAAGGTAAGTGGCCTATCATTAGATCCTGTTGCTGGTCAATTGTTGCCAGCAACAGCATCTCTCTGTTGACATCACCCTCAGACTAGCCAAAGATGAGCAGAAGTCTACTGGAAATGAATACATTTGCCCTTCCTTAGATACATAGCTATGCTGCCAGGACTGGCTGTATTATATGTGAATGCTGGACACATGTATGAAATATCTGGTTCACCAAAGAATAGTAGCACATGGTACCCAGCCAGACTTTTGTAACATCATCTTTGGTGATCAGCACTTCAAACAGAAGAATGTATTTTCCCCAATGAGCAGGTAGCAGTCATCATTATTAATTTGCAAATCTAAACCATTGTTTGTAGACTGGTGTGTGTATAAATATAGTGTCAGTACATTCAGGTCTTTGTGCAGTCTAGGTTCTCCTCTCTCCTTTTAACAGTCATCTTACAGAACACAGTCTAAGCTGTTGGTTAATGGACATGTTTCTACAGAAACTGAATGAACTAGTGCAATGGTTTCCAAAATGTGGTCCATGGGCCTGATGCTGCCCTTTGCTTGCTTTTATCTGGCCTTTGGGGCACTGTTCCTCCCACTGGTATGAGGCACCATTCCTTCCACTGACACCAGTGATGAGGCACAACTCTTCCAACTGACACTAATAATAGGACATTATTCCTTCTACTGACAC